GCTGAGCCCACGGCCTTCCTGGGGGGTGGGGAATGGGCGGTCTGGCCGCCTTGTGGTCAGCAGGAAGCCCCTTCCTCTTCAGCTCGGGCTGCGGAGAAGTCCCCAGGAGGCTGTTCTAGAAGGAGCCACGGGCTTGGCCTCAGGCCAGTGGGTCTGGTCATAGTTCCGCCGTCTCTTGCATGTGCCTCTGGGGGTGGCCACTGCCCGTCTCCCCTCAGCTTCTCATCTGCAAAGTGGGGACCAGGGGCCCATTTACAGGGCTGTTGGGGGAAACAGTGGGAGAACGTGCGTTCTCTCCTGGCCTCCTGCATGCAAGCTTTATGGGAGAAGCCTGGTGCTTTTGGGGGGCAGGGGTCCGCGCCCTCCCCCGTATCGTGATTCACAGCCATGTCTAGGCCGGGGGTGGGGACCCTGCGGGTGGGGCCATCCTTCTGTTTTCCTTCACCTCGTCCGACCCCCTCGCTGCCCCCGAGGGAGCAGGACTGCCTCAGGGTCCAGGCAGCCTGGCTCAGTTAGGAAGGGATTTGTCAGCGTGCTTCACTGGAAGCAATTATTAAGCGCCAACTGAAAGCTTTCATCAGTGTCTAATCTTTGCCAGCCATGTACGCCAGCCCCACCAACATGAAAATGAGCTTTTTTTTTTTTCACGTTTTGAAGGTAGGAGGGAGAAAGCCTGTGGCCAGATATGAGGGTTCATCAGAGGCGAGGTGCCCTGGAGTGGCCGTGCGGCCTGAGGTCACACACACACACACACGGGCACGCACGCCCCTCTTGTGTGGAGATGGAATTGCTGACCCGAGCTCACACACACACACACACACACACATATGCACATGTGCACACGTGCCCCGGATGTGTGGAGGTGGAGTGGCCGGCAGGCCAGTGGGCTGCAGATAGTAAAGGGTCCCCAGTGGAAACCTCCCCTCCCCCTGCCAGCCCTCCCCCTCCCCCAGAGACCACCCTGTAAAAAGTCTCTTCCGTCCCCTCTAGCACCCCCTGTCATCACATGTCTTCAAGTGGAGATGAGTATCGACTCTCATCTTTGCTCCCTTTTTCAATGGAGGTAAAATTCAAGGAACAGAAAGCCTACCATTGGAACTGTGCTGAGGAGTTCAGCTCAGGGGGTCTGCCTCTCCCATGTTGAACACAGAAGGGATACAGCACTGTTCCGCCCCGGCTCCACTCGCTGAGCTGGCCTCCTTGGGGCAGGTGGGGGGTCCTTTCTGCAGTCTCCGTGGTAAGTCTTTGCTCTTGGATGCTGCCCCGTGTTCCCGTGAGCAGCTGAGTCCCGGCGAGTGGGCCGGGCCTGGGGTGGGTCTGCACGGAGCTTCCAGTCTGCAGCTGTTATAGACAGTGCGTGGGCAGTCGCCCAGGACACCCATCAGTCCATGTGCATGGGGACATCCATGGGAGAGCTCCCCGAGCGGAAGTGCCAGGCCGCGGGGCTGACGGGCTGTGATTCTAGAAGGAGCCACAGGCTGTCGTATTCCTGCTGCAGTGTGTCCCGGGGCCCGGAAAGAGCTCTGTCGTGAGCCCATCCTGCTGTGTCTCTCCCGTCTGTCCTGGTCCAGCCTGTCCCCGCCCTGGGCTGGCATCCTTCTAAGTGCAGGGAGTGAGTGAGGACACTAGGGCCCGCCAGGGCTCATCCGGGAGGAGGTCTTCATCCTCGAGACGTGGGCCCAAGAACAGCTCTGCTGTTGGGTGAGGCATTGGCCGAGTCCTACATCATCCTCATGGACAGAGGGGGTTGCTGGGCTCAGAGAGGCCAAAGGCCATGATGACACGAGGCAGGTCCAAGGCTCAAGGCAGGGAGGTGCCCACGGGCCTCCCAGAAGATCAGCCAGCAAGCTGCTATTCTGCAGACAAGCACTAGCCAGGCCAAGGCCACAGCCCCGTGTCCTCCAGGAGGTTCACCCCGACAGCCCCTTTTTCAGCACCCGCTGTAGGTAGCCTTCTTGCCCAGGGCAGGGAGCCCTCACCCAGGACCCAAGTCCCATCTGTACAGGAGGTCAGGCGCTTTGTTGCATTGAATGAGGCTGCGTCTTGGCTCTTCTGGGACCCCCAGGGTGGTCTCCTGAGCACAGAATGTGGGTCTCTTATCAAACTGGTGCAGTTTCCAATTCCCTGTGAATGTTCAGGTGATTTTTTTTTTTCAATCAGTGATATCAAAATGCCTCCCTCCTGTGTTTTTGATCATCAGCCCCTTCCCCTGGGAACTGGGATTTCCTGTTAGCTCAGACAGTAAAGAGTCTGCCTGCAATGCGGAACACCCGAGTTCGATCCCTGGGTCGGGAAGATCCCCTGGAGAAGGGCATGGCAACCCACTCCAGTGTTCTTGCCTAGAGAATCCCACGGGCGGAGGAGCCTGGCAGGCTATAGTCCACGGGGTCGCAAAGAGTCGGACATGACTGAGCGACTACACTTTACTTTTCTTTCTTTTTGGCCCTGGGAACTAATGCTTGCATGCGTGCATGCTCAATCTCTTGGTCGTGTCCAATTCTTTGGGACCCATGGACTATAGCCGCCAGGCTCCTCTGTCCATGGGATTTTCCAGGCAAGAACACTAGAGTGGGTTCTCCAGGCAAGAACACTGGAATGGGTGCCACTTCCTCCTCCAGGGGCTAGACCCAGGGACTGAGGGACATGGAGCTTGGAGGGTCTGCCCCCAGAGCAGAGGGGTCTTCCCACTGCCCACTGCAGTATCAGGGGTGTCAGCTGGCGCTGTCCGGCTCTCCCCACCCCCAGGCTGATCAGCTGGGCAGTTCCATGGGTCTACCCCCGGGCAGGCACAACCTGCGTCCTGGCCTCAGGACCCCAATTCTCCTCCTGCTTGGTGGGTCAGCGTGGTGCCTGGAGGGCACCCCCAGCAGGAAGATGGGTGGTACCCGCTTGATGGAAGAGTGGCTTGTGAGCATGTGGCCAGGGCACATGCTGGCTTCTCTGCCTTCCTCGTTGTCAGTTTGAGAAATGCCACCTATAATTCTTCCAACAAGCAGCTCAAGTGCTCGCTATACAGCAGGCTCTGTGCCCAGCACTGGGACATGAAACAAGACACAGCCCCCCCTCCCTCAAAGGGCTCGCGACTCAGGGTGGTGACAGACCTGTGGGCTGCGCTGGGGGATTGGGAAGCACAGGGTCTGAAGGACTTTGGAGGAGACAGTGAATCCAGGGGAGGAGCCTGGGGGACTTCCTGGAGGTGGTGTCAGTTAGCCTACGATCTGAATGCTGAGTAGGATTTAACCCAGGCATTAGAGGTGGGGGTGGGGGGAGAGGAAGAGGGTCCCAAGATGAGGACCAGCTTGTGCAAAGGCCGGAGCTTAGAATGAAGGGGGTGGGCATGAGTGGGGAATCTCACCCAGAGGGAGTGGGAGGGGGAACCCCTTGGTGATGGCCCACTGTGGCAGGACAGAGTCCACATGGGCAGAATTTACCAGGAGACTGAGCTTGGTGCATAGAGGGGCCCGAGCACCAGGCCAGGGGCTGAGCTCCCCGCCATCCAGGTGTGCAAGCAGAGCCCAGATGGCAGCTGCTCTCCAAGGATGCGAGGTTGACAATTTCGCCCTGGATAGGGCCAGATTAAACAGACTTTGAGGTCCTTTCCAGCTGTCACGCTCCTGCTTCTTGAAATCCCCTCTGGGAATAGCAAGATGATACAATATAAATCAACAGGTTAAAAATACGCTTGTCTCCTGCACGTCCAGGGCCTGTCACTCGGCTGCCTTCCCCGATCTTCAGAGGATCCCTGCCTGACTCAGGCAGCCCGAGAGCCAGCAGGAGAAAATCGCTTTGTTCCCGAGCAAGGCAGGCCGATCGCGCCTCCACTGACAAGACCTCGGGTTGTTTTTTTAATCACCACTGCCTTTAAAATGCACACTGTCCCATTTCACTTGACATCTCCTCCTTCTATCTTCCCTGCTTTAATCACCAGGGAAAGAAGGATCAGCCAGACTGCGGCAGTGAATATGCCCCCCAAGACGGAGAGCAGACAAGTCCTGCTTGCCCGAATGCACCAAACTTGGGGATGGCCCATGTGCTGACCCCAAATTAACCAGGCCGACCGCTCTGCTGGGACCCCGGGGGGCTGTTCCTGCTTCACCTCCTGGGGTTCCCATAGCAACGGGGATGTTAGGAGCCGCTAATAGGGTCTGGCAGTGAGTGAAATGGAATTTGATGTAGAGGCTTGTGAAGTAACTGGGGAGAGGGGGCCCCTTTCTCGCCTGGCAGGTGAATGAAATCTCATTCCCTTGTTGTTCATACATTTTTAGGGGGTGGGAAACTTTCGGCTGCTTACGTGCATTTATTTTCATTTTTATAAACAGTTGTGTTTCCTGCACAGGCCTGGAATGAAGACTCTTTGTTAAGTTAGGGCCCAGTGTGTGCGGTAAACAGTTCAGCACCAACGACTAAAAGCGTGTGTGCCTTTGATGATTCGTGCCCACCTCCTCCCCACCCCCATGCCCCCCAAGGTCCCGGCTGTCCCCGCCCGCTTTCCCAGCCCGCTGTCATCGGCTCTGCCCTCGGCCTCTGCTCCAGGGAACGTGAATGACAGCGCGTACTTCGGGGCTGCGCTAGCCTCACCTGCAGCCCCCAGCTGCTGTTTCTGGCCGGCTCCTTGTTCTCGCAGGTGTGGCTGGGGACGAAGCCCCTCTTACACAGCCTCACGCGGCCGTTCCTGCTCACCAGGACCACCTCCTCCTCGGCTCCCTGGGGCCGCGTCTGAGACGGTCCAGGGCTGAGTCGGGGAGATTCCTCCTGAGTGGCAGGCAGTGCTGGGTGGACCTCCCGGGCGTGGGATATTCCGAGAGTCACTGTGAGGCCCAGAGCGACTTTTTGGAGCAGGAACCAGCCTGGGGTCTGAGTGCTCTGGGGCTTGGGGGCTGGGGCTCATGGGAAGAGCACCCCCCCCCGCCCCATCCTGGGTGGGGGAGGGTCACCATACCCCCCGCACTGAGAGCCCTGAAAGCCCCTGATCTCTGCCTTTGTCTCTGTTGCCATCACAGGTGATCTTGATCCTGACCAAGTATTACCACGCAGACATGGGGAAGGTTCTGGAAAGTTCTCTGTGGCGGTAAGTCAGCCCGAGGGCGGGCCTCCTCTCCTCCTGTACCTGCGTGTCTCCAAGGCTGGGGTTGAGATCCTGGGGGCCTGGCTGGAGCAGCCCCCCTCACTGGCGGCCTCTCGACTTCCCTTCCACTGGAAAAAGCGTGTAGGAGAAGGTGAAGGCCAATAGGAGTCCCGTCAGCGGCACACGCAGGGCTGCGGCACAGACAGGCGTTGGAAGGCTCTCTGCTTTCTTCCCTTCCCTTTCTTTCCCTTTCTTCCCTTTCCTGGGCTCCTTCCCCCTTGCTGTCGTCCTCCTGGGGGAAGGGGGCCTGCCTTGTGAATTCAGGTCAGTGCACAATTTCCTCTGGTTGTGCTCCGAGTTTCCGACGCAGCTCACGGAGTTCCCCAGATACAGCGATTATCCTCACGGTCCGGGGGTCTTTCTTTCTCCCTGGCTCAGTCCAAGAGCTTGGAAAATAAAGAACCCGCCACTGCCGATGGGCACTAACTGTCTGTACGTGAAGGGTAAATTCAGTCCAAGAGTTAGGCGGCCTCTTTGATGGTTTCAGGGAGGTGGGCGAGGAGGAGGACTGGAGATGTCATTTGGGTTATGATCAACTTTGTATTTGTGTCTGCGGCATGGCACCCCACTCCAGTGTTCTTGCCTGGAGAATCCCATGGACAGAGGAGCCTGGCAGGCTACAGTCCGTGGGGTCGCAAAGAGTGGGGCTGAAGTGACTTAGCTCGCGAGCCCCCTGGAAGGGGAAGGAAGGATCCCAGTGTCTTGGGCTGGGGTTTCAATGCATCTCTCAGGCGAGGATGCTGTGTCCTGGGGCACCGCTTGACATTTCCACATTTTCTACGTGTTGAACCGTTTTGCTTTCCAAGACATGTTTCTTGAGTGATAATTAACTCATTTTCTTTCTATTTGAAATCTATTAAAAACACAGAAGCCTGCTGATCAGGACTCCTGACATGCATGTCGCCACCTTGAGTTGATTTCCTGTTGGCCTTTGGTTTTGATTTTAGCGGAGGGGCTTCATGATTGATTCCTAGTTGGTCCTTACCGAGGGATTGGCTGATGCTCCTGCAAGTTGCTGAAATGACCCCTGAGTTGGGTGCATCCTTTGCCAGATGAGAAGCAGGGTGGCCTTGTGGTGGCGGGCGTGGTCGCCCTGGTGCTGATGTGGGGAGTGGGGAGCCGTGCGTTTTCCTTCCCTTTTCCAGTAGAAGTGCCTTCCGAGCCCGCCCCTCTCAGCCTCAGATTTGCCTCCCAGACTCGCCAGCCTGCTTTCCAATTCCACACCAGCCTCAGGATGAGGAGCCCGCCACAGATTCTTTCTGGCCAGGACCCCCGCTTCTTTATGTGTTGGGATATTTCAATCTCATGCCTTGAAGTAGCTCATCCAGCAAGGAGCCTGCTTTCAGAAATGCTCCTCTGGGGGTGGATAAGGCTGTTTGTTCATTGTTTGGGATGAGATTGGAGAGGGGCCTGAGCTTTAAAGCTCCAGTGAAATCTCATCAGTTGCCCTTTGAAGGTTTGCATTTGGGGGCTGGTTTCGGGGCCAGGCTCCTTGAGAAGGGCCGGCTCCTGGAAGGTTCCCCCTTCCAGGTGGGTGGTCCAAGGACTGGTTCCCTTGGCTGCAAAGTAGAGAGAGGCACTCGTCCTCTCTAGCTCCAAGCAGAGTCCTTCTACTAAGTCAACTCAAACTCCAGCCCTGCCTGTCAGCCCAGGTCTCCATGAATGTTTGTTAATCCCCTAGAATGTGGGAGCCGGGTTCTGTCTGCTCCTGCAGCATCTTCAGAAGTCAGGGACAGAGGAGGTGAGGTTATTGTGAGTGTAGCTTAAGGAGCCAGCAGTCCTTCCTGGTGTCACTGTTCTGCTTCACAGAGATGCTGGGTGGAGTTAAAATTTGTGGCAAGTCTTTGTGGGGGCTTGGTGGGGGTGGAAATGACCTTGGCTAGCCCTCCAGTGTGGCCTCAAGACTCAGAATTCTTCATGTACAGGTAGGGAAGCCAGGCTGTTACCAACCAGGGTTCCTGGCCCCTCAATCATTGGAAGGACTGATGCTGAAGCTGAAACTCCAATATTTTGGCCACCTGATGTGAAGAACTTATTGGAAAAGACCCTGATGCTGGGAAAGATTGAAGGCAGGAGGAGAAGAGGGCAGCGGAGGATGAGATGGTTGGATGGCATCACCGACTCAGTGGGCATGAGTTTGAGCAAACTTCGGGAGATAGTGAAGGGCAGGGAAGCCTGGTGTGCTGCAGTCCATGGGGTCCAAAGAGTTGGACACGACTGAGTGACTAAACTCCAAGAGGCCAGACTAAAAACTCAGGCAATGTTTTACTGGGGTCCCTGCTGCAGCAGGAGGGAGCTAGATCAAGTAACAGGTTCCTTTGCTCACTTCCTGAGGTGGGCCGAACTGGTTCTTTAAATGGGGTCAGGGTAGGGCTGTGTCCAAGGGTCGGGCAGGAGGGTTGGCTTAGGTGGTTTGCCCACCCTGTCGGCGGTGTTGAGTTCAGAGGTCAGGCGCAGTACCCTGTTTTGCTCCTGAAAACCTCTTTTTGCTCCTGGCTCTTCAGACATGGCTTCCCTGATTGACTCAGCAGTAAAGAATCCACCTGAAATGCAGGAGATGTGGGTTCAATCCCTGGGTTGGGAAAATCCCCTGGAGAAGGAAATGGCAACCCCACTCCAGTATTCTTGCCTAGAGAATTCCAGGACAGAAGAGCCTGGTGGTCTACAGTCCATGGGGTCGCAAAGAGTCGGATAAGATTGAGCAACTAAAGAATAACATGGCTTTAGACATGGCAGTTGTGGTTTTTGGTCTTTGTGAATCTTGTCCAGAATTTGCTCCACTGGTGCATGCGCGCAGCTGTTTTTAGTCCCTTATATCTCTTTGCATTTTGTTGCTTGAGGAGACATTTGTCCAGGCAAAAACTCTGCAGCAAAGGGTTCCCAGTCCCAGCCTGTCTCAAGGAAGACAAACCACCCACCTCAGAGTCTCCACAGGGAGCTCTTTTTCCTCTCAAGTGCTTCCGTCTCCTTGTCTGTAAAGTGGAAACATCCCTGGATGGGAAATCATGAGGACTGAGGGAGACTGCATACGAATCGTCCCCAGAACAGCACGCAGTCTAAATTTAGTTTTCCTCCGAAGCAAATCAACAGATTTTAATTTTCCACATTCTTTTCTCATCAGTCTCTAGACTCAGACATTTCCTCCCCTTTATTAAAAATACATGCAGAAGCATCAGTTATTTCCAGAAAGTTCATCTACATCCCTACCTGTCAGGCCTGATTTCTGCGTTTATCTCATCTTTCTTGTGCTGAGACTGCTGTACTGTGAGACGCAGAATCAAGTTGCGCACCTTCTCTCTGTCACACCTGCAAGGTGCTTCCCGTTTTTCCGTGTGGTATTATGGGCCACATGATTATTTTTTATGGCTGTGCCCTCACCCCTGGGATTGATTCGTTCTAACTCCTAGCCCTGCCTCCCTTGTGGCTCAGCTGGTAAAGAATCTCCCTGCAATGCAGAAGACCTGGGTTCGATCTCTTTGTTGGGAAGATCCCCTGGAGAAGGGCATGGCAAGCCACTCCAGTATTCTTGGCTGGAGAATCCCATGGACAGAGGAGCCTGGTGGGCTGCAGTCCATGGGGTCACAAAGAGTTGGACACGACTGAGCGACCAACACTTTCACACCATACCCACAACTCCTAGGCCTGCTGTGGTCCTAAGACATTTTGGCACGTTGCTTTCCTTTCCACTTTGTTTCCTGGGAAGCATCTTAGGGAGTTCCATTTATGAGCCAGACGGTCTGAGCAGATTCACGGCTGGCGTGCTGCAGCCAAATTCTCTTCTGGGAGGAATGCAACCCTCCACGTGGGGCAGCGCCCTGCCTCCTGGCCGCCTTCGGGCTGACAGCTTTTCTGGAACTTGCTAACCCACTGGCCCAAAGGGAGGCAGTGCCGTTTCCATACCCCTAGCGAGGGCGAGTGGTTTCTGGGTTTAATCGTATTTTCTCTTGAGAGCATCCCCTGCTCACATCCCCTGCATTGAGACCATGCAAGCTTGTTTAGAAGGGGCGAGACTGCCATCGGCCCTTGGTCAGGGTGTCACCGCCCGCTGTCTGCTGTTAAGGGCACGTGTGGAGGTTCAGGGTGCTGGGGTCTGGCAAACACGTATTCAGTGGGGTTATTAAAGACACATTTATTGAATGTGCACCCAGACTCCCAAGAATTCTCCTGTGTAATCGCAATAAATACATTTTTAATGACAGATGTGGTATTTACAGTCTGGAAATGGCTCTCTGAAATCTAAGCTGAATGCATTTTTAATTGTCCTGCCATTTGTGGGCCCCATGGCGGGAGTGTCTCTTCCTGGCTGGTTTCGAGGGTGCAGCCCTCTGCCCCTTCCTTCTCCGTGGGCACTGTTCTCTGCTCAGCCTCTCAGCCAGGAGGGGCAGGGGGGAAGTGTGGGAGCCCCTTCCCCCGAGAAAGCTGCTGATTGGCCTCGGGGGTTGGCCAAGCACAGAGCTGGTCCACCTCCCCTGCTGGACCATCCCGAGGTGAATGGTAACTAGAGGAGCCGGCTGACCCTGCCCTGGCCTGCGTGTCCAGTCTCTGCAAGTGTCCCAGGGCTGCTGGGGCAAAGGACCAGAGTCTAGGGGCTTAAAACAAGAAGAATGTTCTCCCACCGTCCCACGGCCCAGTAGTCTGACACGGAGATTTGGGCAGGGCCGGCCTCCCTCTGGAGGTGCTGGGGAGAATCCTTCCTGCCTCTTCCAGGTCCTGGGGACTGGGGGCCGGGGGCCTTCCTAGCGGCTGCATCTCTCCAGTCTCTGCCTCCATCTTCATGTGGCCTCCTCCGTGTGTTCCTTACAAGGACACATCTTTGGATTTAGGGCCCACCCGGGTGATCCAGGGTGAGCTCATCTCGGGCTCTCTAACTCATTTCATCTGCAAAGGCCTCTTTCCAAATAAGGTCGCATGCAGTCTCAGGAGGTTTGGATGCCAACGGACGT